GGGTGGCACTGCTGTCCCCGGGGGATTCTGAGGCACCAGGGGAGAATTCAGTGACCCAGGCAACCCATCCCACAGCCGGGAGCAGAAAAGGTCCCCCTCCTCTCATGGAAGCACGGCAGAGCTGGGATGGGACACACAATCCTCTGTGCTGCGTTCCATCTCCTCCCACTGAGGCACCGACCTTTGCTGCTGTTCACCATTTCCACAGGGCTGCTGRAAATTCTGTTCCTTCATTTTGGAAAGCATATCCTGGTCCAAATTACCCTGGGATGGCTGTTTCCCTGTTCCCCTTCTCTGCAAGAAATCTCAAAAAAAAAAGTACCAACGTAAATCAACAGAGTTTAGGATTTTTTTTTTCAGATTACAGTTCAAAGGAGCCAATTCAGCTGTGAGCTGGGGTTGTGCTCCCAGATCACAGATCATAATAGGCAGCTGGATCCTGGTTTCTGTTATTTCAGGGTTTTCCTGGACTCAGGCACAATGAAAAAGGGAGAATGGCTGGGTTCAGTGTGAAATGGGGAACCAGAGGAGTGAGCTGGGAGCATGTGGAGCCTGCTCACCTCACCTGCATAAAGGGCCTTTGTGCTGGACCTCCTGGCCACAGCAGGAGCAGGCAGGAATGTTTGTTGGAGCACACAGGAATGTTTGTTAAAGCAGTAAAGACCTCACCAATCCATGTRAAAAAAAAAAMWAAATACAAAAGGCAATAGATTGTCATTCAGTGTTCAGCGTCCATTGAAATAACAAGAGAAACATGGTTTCGGACAATTTCTTCTGCTAAAAACATTCCTTGTCTGTCTGCTGTGATAAACTGCCCCGGCACATTCCTGTCTGATTTGGAAATTCATTTCCCTGCTCTTGGTGTCAGAGCCTGGGATGGGAGGATGGTGGAGCAGTGGGACAGAGGGACAGAGGGACAGAGGGACAAAGGGACAGAGGGACAGAGGGACAGAGGGACTTTGGGACTTTGGGACAGAAGGACTGCGGGACAGAGGGACAGGGAGACAGAGGGACTGTGCGACAGTCCCAGCCCAGCCACAAAATGCAGCTTGTCTGGAGAGCTGCCAGCTCGCTCCACCCCAGCCAGGGGCTGCACAGTGCTTGGGTACCCCCAAACTATCAGCCCTTCCCGCCAAAGCCTCCCTGGCATTGCTCCTTTCGGGCAGGAATGCTTACAAATGATTTCTTTTTTCTTTGCCCCATTTTTCAATTCCCAGGGGCTGTGCCGTCCTAGGATRGAATCCCAGAGTGGTTTGGTTATTGAAAAGGATGACCTTTATTCAGTGCCACCCCAGCCATGGCAGGGACACCTCCCACTGTCTCAGGGTGCCCCAATGCCCAGCCTGGCCTTGGACACTGCCAGGGATCCACAGCTGCTCTGGGCACCCTGTGCCAGGGCTGCCCACCCTCCAGGGAACAATTCCTGCCCCAAATCCCATCCATTCCCTGCCCCCTGTGAAGCCGYTCCCCCCGTGCTGTCCCCGGCCCCTTTTCCATGTCCCCTTTCCCCGCCACGGGCGCGCGCCCCGCGCCCCGCCCCGCTCGCCATTGGCCGGGGCAGTTTTTGGGCGGTGTCGGATTGGCTGAGAGCGCCAGTGAAAGGCGGCGCTGGGACAACGCGAGCGGCGGCGGCGCGGGAGGAGCGGAACGGAGCGGAGCGGGCGGAGGTGAGTGCGGGGGACAGCGGGAGCGATCCGGAGAATTGGGGACAGCCATAGGGACATCGGGAGCGATCCGGGACAAGGGAGAGATCCCGGACAGCCGGGGACACCGGGAGCCATCCCCGTGCTGGGGGACACCGGGACGATCCCCGTGCGAGGGGACAGCAGGAGGGATCCGGGAGAACTGGGGACACCGGGAGCGATCCCGATCTCTGTGCGGAGGGACAGCGGGAGGGATCCGGGACAGCCGGGGACAGCCGAGGGGACAGGGGGAGCGATCCCCATCTCTGTGCGGGGAGACACCGGGACCGATCCCGGAGAGCCGGGGACAGCGGGAGCGATCCCCGTGCGGGAACACCGGGGTCCCCGTGCCGGGACAGCACGAGATGGGACAGGAGCGGCTCCTGTCGGGGCCCGGCCGAGCGGGGTGCCCGGGGCCGTGCTTTCCCTTCCCTTCCCTTCCCTTCCCTTCCCTTCCCTTCCCGGAGGTGCGCTGGAGGGGCGGGTGCGCTCCGGACCCCGCACGGCTGAGGAGCGCCGGGGGTTTCTTTCTTTGCCCAGCATCCCTCATCTCCTGGTTTTCCTGCCCTTCCATGGGCACCTGAGCCGAGTGCTGCAGCCCCAGACCCGCCGTGCCCAACGCTGTGCCTGCCTTTGTGCTTATTTCAGTGCAAAAATCGCTCCATCAGAGTTTTTGCTGTGGAAGCGACTGTTATCTGAATTAACTTGTGCTGAGCTGCAGTCCAGAGGGAGTGAGGGGTCGCTGGTCCCTTTCTAAACCCTCTGGAAAGTGTGTATTCCAAGAAATCCTGGCTCTTTGAGTGTCCTTTGGGCCGACAGGCCCTGCTGGCATGGCAGAAATGTGGGAGGAAGGGACTCTGATTGCCAGATCAAAGCGGGTGGAATGGGAGCAGCTGCTGCCGTGACCTTCCTCTCTGCACCTTTGTCACCGCGTGGTTCGGGGATGAGTTCAGCAGCCCGTGTCAGCCTGCTGTGATCCCCTCTGGCAGGGCAGTGCCATGTGCTGTGCCCTGGGCTGGTGGCCGTGGGTGTCCCAGGGCACAGGGGCACCTCCGACCCTTCCCCGTGGGGATGGTTCCCTTTGCTCTGCAGTTTTGTGTCACTGCTGGCACAGGGGCACCCAAACCATGGGGATGGTTCCCTTTGCTGTGTAGTTTTGTGTCAGTGCTGGCACAGGGGCACCCAAACCATGGGGTGGTTCCCTTTGCTGTGTAGTTTTGTGTCAGTGCTGGCACAGGGGCACCCAAACCATGGGGATGGTTCCCTTTGCTGGGTAGTTTTGTGTCACTGCTGGCACAGGGGATCCTCAGACCCTTCCCCGTGGGGATGGTTCCCTTTGCTGTGCAGTTTTGTGCCAATGCTGCCCTTGGGGCTCCATCCTGCCTGCCTGGGAAGCTCAGCCTGGCTGCTGGCGAGGAGCACCTTCTGTCCCATTAGGTTGAACTGAGGTTTTGCTGGATCCCAAGGAAAGCCAGGTTTTACTGCAGACTGGCTGTTCCTGCAGGAACTGTGCTCCTCAGCATCCCCCTGTCCTGTCCTGCTCCTCCAGGAGCACACAGTGCTTTGGGGTGGGACTGTGGGATTCAGGATTCGTCCTTCCCTTCCCCTCGTTCCCTCCCTGCTGACGCTGTTGATCCCCACCCTGGGGACACTGTCGGTGTTTGCTGATGGGGCACTCACCCCAGGGCTCTGTGCAATTCTGTCCTCCCGCCTGTCTCCTCTCACCTGAACCCTGCTGTATGAAAAAGAAAACATCCCAGCTGGTTTGTACTTCAAAAGGGATATGAAATGACATAATGAAAGCAACRAGAAAGAATAATACAGACCCTGGATCAGCGTCTGAGTAATCTGTGTCCAAACATAAATGGGTGTCTCTGCAGTAGACGGCTGTTTCATTTCCTGAATCCTAAGGCGGGCACTTTTTCTGGGCACAGTGTGGAAYACTGTCAAATTTTAATTTGCCTTGGCAGTGTCACACAGCCAGTCTGAGCAAGTTGGAGAAGGCAAGTCTGGAACTCATTAGAGCTTGTTGCGAGGCCCCGAAAATTTGATTTTCAATCACTGTTGGGTTTAATTATTGTTGATGTCTTGCCTAGCGTATTCTGGGATTCTTTCTGAGGAAATTAAAGCAGCATGAGTGGGACAGCATTCTGTTTGGCACAGGGCTTGTTTAGATTAAATTCTGAGTGGAGAGTTGAGCTGGAAGCAGGGAGAAGGCGATGGCTGGCACGGTTTGAGCACTGGAGAGAGCCCAGCTGGCCACCAAGCTCTGGGGCCTGTGTGCTGCTCTCACCAAACTCTGTCCCTTCTTGTCAGAGCAAAATAACCCACCGAGCTAAAAGCACCCCTCAAAGCCAAGGTGAAGTTTACTCAGCTAATAGAAAAAGTTAAAGAACCGATATTTATTTCATTCCTTCTTCAGCGTGGGACTTGCAGACGTCCAAAGCATCCTGTGGCACAGGAGGGAATTTGCAGGGATAAATGTGCTCCAGGGTGTGCTCTGGGAGAGGCAGGAGCTTCCTCTTCATCAGCAAATACTGAATGCTTGAGGAGCCCTCTGCATGTGTCTGCAGACATGGATGGGAATTCTGGTAGGGATTGGGATTGCAGGCATTGGTAGGGATTGCACTGGTAAAGTCCAAAACCTGAGTTTTTAAAAACTTGGCATCACAGTTGGAAACTCAACTTTTTTCATTCATGTTTTCACAAAGTGGGTGCCTTGGTCAGGGTGTGCAGGGTGCCTGGGCTGAGCCCTGAGCTGTCCCACAGCCTGGTGGTGCCTGGCTCTGTGGGAAGGATCAGCTCCCAAATGATGGGAGAGATAATAACCCCAGAGATTTTCTGTGAGCGGTCTGCAGAGCTCTGTGAGCGGTTTGGGTGGGTGTGATGAGGATGGGGAGTGAGGAGCTCTGGAGGCAGCGCCCAGGTCCCTCCAAGGTGCTGCTGCTCCGTTGTGTAAACGCTGTCAGAGCTGTGAAACCCCTTCATTTCTCTGTGGGGTCAAATCAGGGAACTTTGAACAGTTACACCCTGGGAGTTTGTCCCGTGCAGATTTCTCTGGTTGTAATCCCCTCCAGCTTCATTATGGGGTGGGACCATCTCTGCAGAGCCACTCCTGAGGATGAGCAGCTCGGTCCCGGTGCTGGGGACAGGTCCTACATGGCTGGTGGCCCGGGGGGTGACAGTGACCTGCCTTGGGAGCTGCTTTGTCCTCTGAAATCCCACAGCAGTGTCCTTGTGTCGGACCAGGGGAGGAAGCAGCTGTGGATCTTAATGSAGAAAGCTGCTCTGGGCGAGTATTTATAGACATGAAATCATAAAGCAGCACAGGGGTTAAACACTTTATTTTGGGACTTGGACTCAGAGCTAAATTGAGTCCAATAAAATGCAATTTGCAATTTACAAGTTWCAAAATCCCTCTGGTCCTGCAGGGAGGCAGTGTCTGGAGTATTTGTTTAGGCTGGCGTTTTTCTCCTTTTTTTTAAGAAGGAAATATTGTATTTCAGCCATTCAGGAAAGGCAGTACKCAGATGCCCCATCTCAGAGCTACTGTTCCATTTAGAGATGGGGCTCAGGGAAAGGGGAAGATTTCCAGGCAGCTATTTGCAATTTTWGAAGAGCAGGAGTTTCCTGATGCTGGTACCAGCCTGATTCCTCACATTTTTCCCATCTCGCCCACTCCCAGCACTTTGACTCCATCTCTGGGTTACATCAGATGAACACAGGACAGCAAATTCACCCCAAAGCACCGTCACTGTTTGCCTATGTCCTGCCAGGATTTGGGGTGGCACAGTCCCTCAGCTTCTGCCTTGGGCTGAGGGCATCACCAGCCAAGATTCACTCAGGCCTGTTCATTTGCTCTTTCTGAAGAGCTGTAAATGTTCACCCAAAAGCACCTGGCTTTATTTCCCCTCCAGAGGGAAATGTGTTGAGCTGGTGAAGCTGGGAGCAGATGCAGAGGGGCAGGGCAGGGTGAAGGGGAGGGATGGGGTGGGCACTGCCCTGTGCCAACTGCAGCTCTCCTGATTCCTCCTCTCTGAACATCCTTCTCCTGCTGCTGACAAGGTGCTCACTCCTAAATCAGCTGTTATGTGGAAATCCATGGCAGCAGCTCCATCAGGGCATCCTGTCAGYGTTCTGAGGGGTTCCCAGTGGCATCCAGAACCTTCCCTCTGGTGGGAATGGCACGGACACGGCTGGGGCTGGGCATGGAACTGGGGATCCCCTCACCTGACTGCTCTGCTGCTCTGCTGTTGGATTTGGGGGCTGTTCTTCCCATTCCAGACACTTCTCACAGCTCAGCTCGGGTTTAAATTAAGCCCGAGTATCTGAAGCACAGTCTGGCTTGTGCAAAAAATCTGATTTTCAGCATTTGCCCTTCTCTTATCGTTAATTCACACATTGTTAGTGGAGAAAGGAATGCTGCCAGCTATGTGCTCTTGGAAGAGGGAGATATTTGCAGAGGCCCTGGGTGTTGGAGTTCTGTGATCCTGTAGGTTGGGATCTGGCAGCTCCATTTGAATTGTTTCCTCCAGAATCAGCACCAATTCCTGGTCTTTATGCTGCTAAAATAAAAGGCAGCAAACTTCTTACTCTGCAAAGTTCAATGCAATAAGTGCTTCCAATATCCCAGATGATATCAATTCACTCATTGGTGCCTTAAATAAATCCAATAGAGAGAAATTGAGATGAAAGACAGCCTATTGTAAGGGATTTTTTTTCCCTGTGAGTGTGGTAATCGGGATAAYGCTTGCTTGGAATCTGGCAGGGAAACAAATTACTTGCAGGTCATGATTACAATGGATGTTCTTTGTCTATGAAAATGCAAAGAAAATAAACCAAAACATCCCTTTGCTGTTCTCAGAACTGCAGCAGTCAATGTGTGTGTTGGTTTAGTGCATGTCTAAGGGCAGTTGCTTGCCTTGCACGGATTTATTCCACTTGCAGTGGATTCAAAGAGCCTCTCCTGAAATCCCACCCGAGCTGAGCCCTCCTTCCTCCTGCAGGAGGTTCAGGGATGTTTTGGGCTGTTCTGTGCCAGGACTGGGAGTTGGTTCCTGAGCTGGACTTCCCCAGACATCATCAGGGGTATCAAGGAGGATGCTGAGCTTTAAGGTCCCTTTCAACCCAAACCGTTCTGTTTGTTGGTCATCAACAGGAGAGAAAACTCAGCCAAACACCAATATGAGAACTGGAGCATTCCCTTTACTGGCACAGACACCTCTTCTGTTGGGAGTAAACCTGTGCACCCTACAGTTATTGGAAATCTGTAAGGGAGTTTGAGTAGCCCCAAATCCATAATGGAGTTTGAGCTGGCCCCAAATCCCTAATGGAGTTTGAGTAGCCCCAAATCCATAAGGGAGTTTGAGCTGGCCCCAAATCCCTAATGGAGTTTGAGCTGGCCCCAAATCCCTAATGGAGTTTGAGTAGCCCCAAATCCCTAATGGAGTTTGAGTAGCCCCAAATCCCTAATGGAGTTTGAGTAGCCCCAAATCCATAAGGGATTTTGAATTAGCCCCCTATAATTATGCAAGCTTAGCCCTATTTCAGTCAGATAACACCAACCAATGCTCTGCCATCCCTATCCTGAAACTCCTCACTATTGTGCTGAGCAGACTGGTCCCACCCTGTGAACACTGTGTGACTTTTCCCTGTTCTTTTGTTCAAGGCTCTGTTTCAGAGTTGTTAATCTCCAGAACTCACTGTGGGTGGAGGAGCCTCCCCAAAGGGTTCTGGGGGTGCCTCAGGCTCTCTGGGGCTCCCAGCTGTGATTTAGGGTGGGGTATCCCATGCCAAGGCTGCTGGAGAGGTTCCAGAGGCTGCAGGGCAGGGTTTGGACTGAGCTGTCCCAGCTCCTGGGGAGCACTGAGCGTCAGCAGAGGTGAAACGAGGACCTCGGCTCTGAAGGGCTCTTGTGAACTTGGAGCAACTTTTTGGAAACCAGCTTTTCCTCTTCCCTCCCTAAAAAGGAGGGGAAAACATACTTGAGGTAGTTACGTGTCTCCAGCACCGTTTTCAGTCTCCAAATAGGGTGTTGTGCAATAAATGCTTTCGGGATCCAGAAGCCTCTCTGGAAGCAGGAGGGACCTCTTTGCCACTCCCTGCTGGACCTGTGGCTGTGGCTCTGGGTCCCCAAAGCCCTTTTGGGGCTGGAGAGCTGCGGGTGACTCGGGCAGCAGTGCCAGGAGGGAGAAGTGCCATGGGGTACCCTTCACCCTGCCCGTGGACCTG